TTTGTTATTTACTGGGGCTTTTCTTTCTGCGTGGTGGAGGAAGACCACTTCTAGACAAGGTTCTGCTCTGGCTTTGATTCCCTCCATGCAAGATGTGGTATAGCGATGCATTAAAAAGTAGTTACAATGATAATAATAAAAAGAAAATCACGTCACAAAGTCCACAGGGATTCAAACCAAGCAGGGCAAGCTCCGTCCTCGTCACTCACTGCACCACGGCTACAGGCTCGTACACTTCACTGTCGTCGAAGTGGCACAGGTTTAAAAGCCAGACTTCAGGGGGAAAAAAACTGGGTACAGCAATAGTGAAAGAAAATTATCATTTCAGAGAGCAGTGAAATACAGGCAGTGGGCACTGAGGGTACTTACACATTGCCACACTGTGCCGGGTCAACCTGATAACGGTGGTAGATAGCTGGGGATGGAGCTGCCTGTCTGCCAGCTACAGCCTCGCAGATCCCTGGCCTTTTGCTTTTCACTTGAAAAGTTAATTCACATCCTGGACTATTTTTGCATTGTGTTGGCTTAGAGCTCACAAATCTGAATGCACTCAGCCCTCAGAGTGACAAATGTTATTCTCGGTCCTCCCCCGCAATTTCAGGCAGTCAAGAATTAGATGCGGCAGGGTGTACACTATTTTAATCTATTGATTTGTACCTGCTGTACCTGAAAAAATTCATTAGAGGAGCCTTAAAATCATGAAGTGGTTGAATGCTCAGCTCCCTCCCAAAAAGACAAATTCTCTCAATAGCCGCTCACCTCTGCCACATTCTGGGGTGTGCTACATCGTGTTATTCACACTGAGACCTGCACTTAAAACAGATCTTTGAAGCATTTGGTTACAGACAGTGTGTGTGTGTGTGTGTATAAGCAGGATTGGGTTTTCTCTGAGCTGAGCAAACAAAATCTATCCCACTCTCCATAGCTACCCCTGGAATGGCCAAGCGTCATGGCAGCCGCTCACAACACAGCGATTCGGAAAGAGGGAGGGAAACAAGTTTATTAAAAAATCTTAATTCCTAACATTGAAGTATGTAGAATTATTGGGGTTTTTTTCCTGCGTGAAATTTTAAATTCAGCCATCTGAACAGGTGTCAGAAACAGTGGGTCCATTTAGCTCCTCTGATGATCGGAGTAATAAATATAGAGGATTTCCTTTCAATGCAGCACATGCTGAAATGACACCAATGTAGTTCTGGCATCTGAGCAGATAATTCTGATATATGCATCATTTCCTCCCTAAATCCAGGAAGCAGCTACACTCTCTATCTGATATTAGTATATTATGTCAAAAAGAAATTGGTATTAAAATTATGAATGATTCTAGATCAAGAACTTCCTACACACTACGCAGAGGGAGGGGGAGGAAACAGCTGCACAAAAGCTTTCAGAAGGGAAAGGAAAAAAAGAGCTGGGAAAGTTCATTTTTTAAACTGAAAATTTGCTGCCATGTTTCGGAGGGGGAGTTTTCAAGTGACATTTTGATTCAGCGCTGGCATTTTTGTTTTAAAAGGGTGAAGAAAGCTTTCTAATAAATAGAAGCTGTCCCCACTCTGTTTGCAAACAGGCATTTCTCACCACAGTGCCTAGTGAGAAATTGTTCAAGAAATAAATATACACTGGTGTGACTGGGATATTTCCCTCCCTTCTACCCTCTTTCTTTTAGGATGCAGTTCAGGATGACATTTCTCAGGCAGGGAAAATGCTGCAGCAAAAACAAAACTATACTCTTGGACTCTGCTCAGCAGAAACCCAGAGGTTGGGCAGAAGTTTGTGTTTCATTTTAGAAGAGGAAATAAAAAATTCTTAAGGGTAAGGTGGGCTGGGGAGGGAAGAGGGGCTGCACCACAGTTACACACCATCCCCAGCCAGCAAAGGCTGCTCTCTGTGCACGTATCTCCCAGCACTGGTCACATGAAAGTTCTTTGTAACGTAGTTAATAAATGGGAAAGCACTATAGGACTCCGGGAAAAATAGGATGTTGTTAGTGATGGGGAGATTAAGACCACGAACACCTTTTGACACACAATTGCCTGGCTCGGGCAGCACTCCCCCTGCTTTAGCCAGAGAGGTACCTGTGGGAGAAGAGTAGGATCCTGCTCTCCTTTGAAATCCCCAGGGATTGTACCTTCCAGTTCAATGGGAGCAGGATTGAGGCCAGAGTCAAGCAAGGGGTGATTAATGAATGTAGGTTATTCAGAGCAGAGCGGTTCCAATTAGTCCTCAGCAAGCAGTCCTGCGGCAAAGGTGGGCGCTCCCCTGCAATGATTCATACACAGAACCCCAATACTCATTTCGCTTTAGTGAATATTAAAATGTGCACCTATTTTTTTTCCCCTTCAGTTGGCCAGTTGGCGTGTTTCAGGTAGAAATTCAAGTGCAGCCTAAGGAAGGTTGCATTTTTTTTTCTTTTTTTTTTTTAATTTGCAACAGAAGATTGTTGTAACAATACCAGACTGCGAGAAAGCCTTTTTTCCCTCTCAGTTTGGGTGTGTGATGGGAATTTTCCCTTTTGCTCCCTATTCTTGGAAGTCTGTTTCTAGGAAGGGTTTCTCTTATCGCTGTTCAAATAGGGTGCTTTTTCTTTTTTTCCTCCAAGAAAGAAGATACTTCAGGGAGGCAGAAGTGCTCTCCTTGCTTTTCGCTACTCAGTCAATTCACAATACTTCTAAAACCCTATTGCCTGCTCCTGACTTTGCCTGTAAGGAAGCCCAAAGCGACAGGGGAGTGGAGGGATGAGGCTGGACCAAAAGTGGGTCCCACTCTGGGTGGTTTTGGGCTTCGTGCTCCCTCAGGAGCTGCAGCGCCGCTTCAGCGGGGGCTTTGCTGAGGACAGGCCTTGTCCCTTCCCTTCCTTAGGACAGGGCTCCTTTGGGAGCTCTTGGCAAGGGCAGCAGTAAAGCTTCTAAGTGAGCCCCTGTGAAAAAACCTGGGCATTGGTAAAGGCTCAGTCAGGGAACGGGAGGTGGGAGACAAAATAACGAGCAGCCTTGTCTTTATGAGAGGAGATAATTCCCTGCCCAGCCAATAGCAACCAGTTTACCCACAGATTACACATTAACCAGAAAATGGAACTCGAATTAACCAGAATCTGGAGCTTGAACCATTACTCAAACCCTGGTGCAACAGCAGGTCAGATGCCAAAGGGCAGGTTGGTGCCCTGGCGCTGGGGAGGGGTGAGACACAACATCGGCATCGGGGACCACAGCCACCAACACCTGCTGTTACCAACAGAGAGGCCGGTGTCCATCCCCTCCAAAGGGACCTCAGCAGGAGCAGACTGACCTCCAGCAGCACACTGTGCCCACTGACACAGGCTCTTGTGGGTGCAGGTGCTGCAGGGGGGCTCAGAGCCTCACCTCAACCTTGGCACCTCGACCCTCAACAGCGGCTGGACCAGCTGGACAGAGGAATGGCAACAGGTTCTCTCCCTGCAGTGCCACCAGCACCCAGGAGGGATGACCTCACAGCTGGGAAAGAGTTGCATCAACAGCAGGGGGTAAAAAATACAAAGGGAAAAAAAAAAAGTTGGGTTTACGAGCCTGGGTCTGGAGATAAATGCCCCGTCCTGGAGAGGTTGGAGCATCCTTCGGAGAGGCCTCTGCCTCTCACATAAACTGGGCAGATAATCCCACTCCAAGAGCAGGAGAGGACTCTGCGAATGGACACTGGAGGCTCTCAGGGAAAGGTGGTTTTAAACAAACTGGGTCAAGAGTTTGAGGAGCCTTTCAAGTCAAAATGCCCTTTGAAATGGAGAACTGCAGTGAAGAGAGGATCTGCTCAGAGACCTGAATGTTTCTAGCACATTAACCTTTGGGATTGATTGTTTAGAACAAATAACTCTCAAAAGTTGGAGGAAGTCCTTTGGATTTTTTTTTTTTCTGCTCCTCAGCTCTCTCTGGGCTTTCCAAGGCCTGTAGCAAAAAAAACCAAAAAAAAACCCAAACAAACAAAAAAAACCCCAAACCTCAAACAAATTAAAAAAAAAAAAAAAGAAAAACCCACAGGGCAAACAAAACAAAAAAGAGGGGTAAAAAAGCAAAGAAAAGAAAAAAAGGAGGCAGTATGGACCAAAATGTCAAGAAATCTTTCGATCTAGCATTAAGTGGTTCTGTGACAAGCCATGCCTGATGTGGTGTCATCTCTTACTAGAAACAGGCATGCTTAGCTGGGATCAGATGATAAGAGGATGTGAAGTCTTCCCTTTCACTTCACTCCATCATAAAACAATCAAAATACAGGGCCACATCATGTCATCAGGTTTTTAAGCAGACCTCCCCTTTGAGATCTCCTAAAACTTGGTGGGATGATCTGAGTCACTGAAACTGAGCTCACTGCACTACTGAGAAGTCAGAAGCAGCACCTGAAAGTTCACGTTTTCCAACTGCCTGAAAGAATAACTTGATTTCTAGCAGGTGACAACTGTCCATTTTACACGAAGCTATCCTTTTCCTTCTCCCCTCCTGATTATTGAGCCCAGCTCTTGGATCAGCATCGCCCCTTCGGCAGGCAGCACGCTGAAGTGCTGCGCTCGGAGTTATTGGACTTTAAACTACACACTAAGAAACTGAGTACGGAATCAAAAAAATGCAGTTTATTATTGTAGATTATTCTCTCTTTTGATATAACCATAGAGTTGAAAATGAAAGAAAAGCACATAGGAACATCACACGTGGTTAGTTAGTAACTCAAGATATAAAACAATTTTGCACAGCAAAATATGTAAAAGAAAAAGTAACTGACAAGATTTTTTTATATTTATTGTGGTAAGATTTACTTTCCATTTTTTTTTTTAAAAGACAGGATATCAGTCCCTGAAAATAAAATTTACTGATTATTGCCTTTAAAACTGTGGAATTTTTGAAGTTACAGAAAATCCAGTTCTGCACCACAATACAACTGTAAAAAAATCTGCATCATTTTAAAACTGTGCAGTAATGCCATCTTTATAACTGCATAAATTGTATTAGCGTTCTAAACAGGTTCGTAATTTTTTTTTTTTGTTTTTGTATTATATGCTTGCAGGTTATATCTTAGTGCAATTCAGTCCCAAATACTTCAATTTTGAAAAAAAAAAAAAAACAACCCATACATTTTTAATGTAAAATACCCCTATAGATATAAACAGGGGTGCCTCCCCCTTTTAATACTTTGGTTTTCAAATACAGTCAGTGGTATAGCAAGGACTACATATACCCAACTTATATTTAAGTTGCAAGCACATGCTGCATAAACTACTTTTTAAAACAGTCCCGTTGTAAATTCTACCCCCCTTTACATCACGACAGTAAACAATTTAGTGCATCAATCTTTAAAAAAAAAAAATCTACATCTAAACAGACCTAACTCTTTCGAATTTATCTATAACATTCCTTTATCTGTAGCATACATTTTAACTGGGCTAACAGATGACAGAAACTAGAATTAAATTATATACTAGGAACCCAGAGCATTCCATATTTGACAATGACCAAATGCAAAAGGAAAAAAAAATGGGGCAGATCACTTAAAATTAATTTTAGACTGTTTTTAGGCAACAGCATGGTTTCAATGTCCCCCCCAAGTGGGATGTGACTTTTGTTTTTGAACACCTTCCCAAAGTTCTTTCTGTGGTTTTTTTTTTTTTTAGTAGTTTTTTTTTTGCCACATTAGGTTATCAAAATCCATTCTGGCATGTTTTTTTCAGAGGGAATGCTTCAGTGCATTTAAAAGGAAGTCTGAAGTTTTGAGTAACTCAAAGCAGTTTTAGAGCAGATGCAAACTTTAATGGAGAGGAAGAGGAGGAGGAAGATCAAAGGTTGCACTTTTTTGCTTTCAACCCAAAAAAGTGATGAGGCAATAAAACAAAAGGATGAATGCCATGCCATAATAGTCTCCAAAAGTCCATTTCCAAGCAAAAGAAAAAAAAAATAATTATACCATACATGACCAGCATGCAGGGTTTTTTATTAATATAATGTCTCTTTTTCATAGTCTTTTGAAACAGTTATAGTTCATTGTTGCTAAGACAAAATAGCAAGCGTAATGCATGAGATGAGTATGGGATTCTAATGGCAGACTAAAGTCTCACGTTTGGCAGATTAAGGCCAAAACTCACATGAACACACCGAAGGTTGATGCAGGCTTGATTTTGGCAGGTTGATCTAGGCATATCTCTAGTTTTGCACAACAACGCTAAAAACTGATGGAACTCAGCAAGCTGGAGTCTAAAAATTTCACATTGTTTTTTGTATATTTTTATTTTTTTGTTTTGTTTTTTTTTATTATTTTTTTATTTTATTTTTATTTTTGCAAAGCTCAAATCTCATATGAAGAACTCAGGATGGCAAAAAAAAAAAATCTGACTTTTTGGACACAGCAAGCTCAAAAGAAAAAAAACTCATGAACTTAAAAATATATATATATATAATGTGGATGGCAGGTTTCAAAGAAGAGCAAGCTTCATATGAAGAACTGAGTTGGTGGCGAGTTGAATCTTTCAAATTAAAAAAAAAAAACACAACAGCAAGCCCCCACAAAAATAAAAAATAATAATAATAATAATAAACAGAAAGGAAACTCATGTAGAACTTTAGGTTGGCCAACACGGAGCCAGCCCACCTTAAAAAGAAAAAAAAAAAAAAAGAAAAAAAAAAACAAAAATCAACCCAAAAAACAACTTTTTTTTAAAATTTTTTTGAGTTTTTTTTTGTTTTTTTTTTTTTTTAAAAAAAAAAAGGTAATAGAAGGTGGCAAGCGGGGTTGTGGCTCTAGCAAAGCCCCCAACAACAACTCACACGGAGAACTTTTAGTTAAGGTGGCAAGGCTGTGGGAACTCACATGAAAAACTCTGGAGAGGAAGGGTTGTCGCTGCTGGATCCGTTTTCTCTGAAGCCATTGCTGACCAGCTTCTCGTACTTTTCCTTGTAGGCGTCCCTCTCCCGGACCAGCCTGGAGATCTCCTGCTTTAGGTGCTCCACTTGCTGCAGCAGCTGGTTCTTCTCCGACTCCAGGACGTGCCGCTGCTGGACCCTCTTGAAGCGGCAGGACTGGGCATAGCCCCTGTTTTTGAGGGTCCTCCTCTTCTGCTTCAGCCGGATCACCTCTTCCTTGCTGACGCCCCGCAGCTGCCGGTTCAGCTCCCGCACCGACATGGTCACCAGCTGCTCGTCGGAGAAGCGGTCGTCG